ATACTGGAATGCTATTTGCTTACTCTGATCACATCAAGCCAAATCTTTTTGAGTTGAAGAAGCATGAAGCTCACAGAACTTCGTGGACTGTTAGCAAAAGGCAGCTTCATTCCAAGTTGCCATACTCACATTGTATTATCTTTAGTTCGGATTCTTCAAGGCTAATATTGGCAGGCCACAATAGAAGGATATATGTAAGCATTTTCTCCTTGTTCTACTGTTGGGTGTTACTTTGCTTTTAAATGTGACTGTTCCAGTTCCTTTTACCTGAATGCCTTGAAGGATGGGTTATTTGTTCCAGTCGACTTCATTGTTGATGAATGCTTTTGTTTGGGGTGGGACTTCTGGCTCCTTGTGGGTAGTGAGTAGGGGTTTATATCCCTTTAACGTGCAATGATGTCATATCTCCTGAATGCATTGTGGTTGTAGGTTGTGGATGTGGAGACATCTGACCTAGTGCATACCTTCACTCCTCAGCGTTATGATTACAATGAGGAATTACCGCCCTCCGATCCTCCAATGACAAAAATGTTCACTAGCAACGACGGACAGTGGTTAGCTGCCGTTAATTGCTTTGGCGATATATATGTGTTCAACATGGAGACACAAAGGTGTGAATAAACTCCATTCCTTACTTCCTTTCTCATGTGGTTTGGCTTTCATGTGACTTTTTCGGCACTCTGATTATGTGCAGTCAGATTTTTGCTTCTTATAATTAATGGATCCTTGGTAAGAAAAGAGGACATTGTTCCAATTGAACTGTTTGGTAGTTATATATACTTGTGGATGCTAATAATGAATCATCTCAATCCTACAGAGTGGTCAATTGATCACCTTTTAGATTCCCCTAGAGATTTGAATTTATGAGCCTATTGCTCTTTTGTCATGATTAATTATCAACTGTGGATATATATTTCTGCTGGAGGCTGGTTTTAATTGGAGTTATACATAGCTTAATGTTTGTTTTGAATAGGATTTAAATACGCTCATTGTTTGTTACTATACAGGCAGCATTGGTTCATTTCAAGACTGGATGGTGCTTCTGTTACCGCTGGTGGTTTCCCACCACAAAATAACAATGTCCTTGTAGTCACTACCTCCTCAAACCAGGTCTATGCATTTGATGTAGAGGCGAAACAGTTGGGGGAATGGTCAATGAGGCATACTTCTTTTCTACCAAGGAGATACCAGGAGTTTCCTGGAGAAGTTATTGGTCTCTCTTTCCAGCCTCTGTCTGCTTCTCCATCTGCCATCATATATAGTGCAAGGTGAGTTTATCTAGTTTCATTGTGGTTGTTTTCAAGGTTGTATTGCTATCCTAAATTGACTGCTACGTCGTCACATCTGTTATTCATTCACTAGAGTGTTTACTCGAGGGCTATCAAATCCCGGTGTTGTAGAATATTCATCTGAAGTGGTTAATATCTTTGCCTCCAGGGCAAGGTGTCAGATCGATTTCGGGATGCCAGTGGATAGAGAGGAAGATGGTGACTTGGCTAATGGTCCTGTTTCAACCAAAAAGATAAGATTAAAAACCCCGGTGAACAACGGTAGCCTGAAAAGAATACTAAAAGAGTATCAAACAAAGACTGAAAATAGGAAGAACTTTGAATTTCATGCCTTCAGAGATCCTGTGTTATTCATGGGGCACCTTTCAGAGAATAGCATATTGATCGTAGACAAGCCGTGGTTAGATGTAGTCAAATCATTAGAAGCTCCTCCTGTTCACAGACATGTATTTGGCACTTAGAAAGGGTGGTAAGAAGAGTTGTGATGAATCAGTTGAGCCATAACAAGAGGAACGTGGGGAGATCAGGGAAGGTACTCAGAAGCAGAGGACTAAACTAAACCAGGTTTTTCGATGGCTTCCCTTGTCTGCTTGGCGGGAAAATGCATGGGTTCTCAAGCCTTTCTCATGGGTTGTGCATGTGATTGGGGAAGAAGGATAGAGATTTGCAGGCAAAGGTTGGTAACGATGAACTGGGACTATGCTTGTTTGGGGGGTTGGGTTCATGTTCTTGTTGTTTATTGTATCCCTACTAGTAGTTCTCCCTTGTAGAGGGTTGTTTTTTTGTTTCTTTTTTGGCGCTTTGTTTCTGGGGACCTTCTAGCGACTCTTGGTAGTAGTTCAACTCAGTTTTGTCCTAAATTTTTTTTTGCTTCTAACTTATGGGCTAAATCTATAAGAAATGTACAAGTTCCCCACACTGCATACTTCCTGTCCAGCAGTGCAATGAATTGCTGTCTTGTTCTCCTGTTGCTGGTGGGGAATTGGGAATGAATCACAATATTGATGGCTTCAGTTACTTGCTGCCTTTAGCAGGAATAAGCTGCCTGACCTATACCCTTTAGATTATTATAGTTATAATAATTATATATTTACCAAACAAGCTATTTATGCGCTCTACACACCATATCCTGATTTGGGGTCTACTTATTATGTCACTGGATAGTCACTGGTAAGATAGTCTAATGATAAATGGTAAGCAGTCGCGATAGTTAATGGTTGGGAGTGGCAGATTTCAGGTCCAATTCTAAGTGAGGCTCGTTGGTGTTCTCAGAGGTATAAGGCCGCTGGGAATAAAGTCCTGTTGCCGTCGAATCGAATTGACAAATTCAATAATTTTTTTAAGAGTGTTAATGTTATAGGCTTAGTTTTAATGTTAGGGGTTACTAAAGCGATTCGATCTTGTGGTTTAAGGTTCACCATGATATATCTATATCATCATGATACACTTTCATACCACTATAATATAATTTTATGTACTACCAAACATAGCCACGATGTTTGTAATATATATTTTTTTATTCCTAAATATATCAAAGTAAATGTCATTACCCCAATTTTCCCGTTGAATTAGTTGCTATTATTAATTTATTATTAAGCTAAGTGTAGCAATTCGCGACTCGCGGAACGGTTTGATACAACAAAAGAAAGAATTCATTGTGAATTCTCATGGTGTAAAAATAACTCTCCCACGGTCCCACCCATCTCTACCTTCCTTCACCCAATAAAAAATTTAGTCTCTTCGGTAGTCTACAACAATCTCAAAGTCAACAGACAAAGAAGGATTACAAATTATAATACTACTGAAACCAATCTTTATGCTCGTCCGCACTTCAACAACAGCTCTACAGACTCCTCTTGCTGCTTGCTGCTTGCTGCAACGCAAGATTCCAGGCCCCCGCAAGTAAGTTAGTAACACCAGCAATCTGCAAAAGTTGCTGCAAAAAACCACATTCAGAAAAAACTAAGTGGTCTCTATCTTCACTCTGACTTCCACAAAACAGACACTTTGCATCACTAATCTTTGCCTCATTTGTACAGCTTGGCTCTAGTGGTCAAAGCATTCAAAACAATCAGCACGAAGTGTGTTCCATAATGCTCTTCTAGTCGAGTATTGAACTATTGATCCATAAGCGATCCATTCCACAAGACCACATCTCCCTGTCTACACAGGAAGAGCCTGTGCTTGAGGTCGGAGCTTCAATATCTTCCTACATGCCTGAGAGCTGTTGGAGTTAATCTTCATGAATCACACATCATCCCTTTTGATTTTCATTGGTTCAAGTATTGCATATCGATTGAATTGAACTCTTAATATGTGGAAGCGATGCAGTATTCTTAACATAGACTTAATTTTTATAATTATCATAAATCAACAATATTTTTGAACATGGAAGTTGTTAGTGAATATGGGACACATGTGTATTTAAGATGGGTGAATATGGAAAGATTGAGTGATGTTTGCTTGCCGAACGCGGATGGAAAATACACTACTAATGTAAATGAGCCCAAATAGTGTCCCAACCTTCTAAACGCTCAACCATCACCGTCTCTTCAAACTTTCTTCAGACTCAACAACCAGCTAACCTCCCCCAACTCTATTGTTACGTGAGAGCAACTTTTGGAGGGGGTAAATATAAAAAATTTGAGTGTTGTTGGTTTTTCGAACGCGGATGGAAAAGACGCTTCTAATGTAAACAGACCCAAATAGAGCCCGACCCACTAAACGCTCAACCACGGCACTTATTTTCACCACACCAAACGGGAGAAAGAGGAAGGGGAAGAGAATCAGAGTTGCAATTTTTTCTAACTGAAGTAACTTTTATTGTTCAACCGGGTTTCCCTTTATTACGCTTGCGGCCTAAGGGCGAATTTTTTTGAGAAAAAGAGACAGGCTAATTTGGCTGCGGAGCCAGAGTAATTTTTTGGAGCCAAATGAAATTTTGAAGCAAATTTTACCAACAAAATGGAATTTGTCGGAGTCAAAGCAAAATTTTGAGACTAAAAGTAAATTTGAAGCAAAAGGAAATTCTCCTCCATGAATTTGAAGAAATAATAGTTAATTTTTTTTGTTAAATTGGTCACAAGAATTACAGTGACTAAGTATTAGACACGGAAAATAAAGACTAAAAAATTGTTGAATTGATTTCCCTAATTAGAGGCATACAATACAACTAGCTACGAAAAAAAATTCGTGGCTACCAGTGTACTTCTTAGTAAAGAAAAAAATTCTGTGAATAAGATATCGTGACTAAACACATGTTTTACTGTAATGTATGGATAATGCTAACTCTATTAATTTTTTTTTTATTTGATAACTTTATTAATCTTTGGGAAAGGTGTTTTTGACATTATTTATTACCTATTCACTTTTCACATACATGTTAATTCATACGAAATCTTATAGCGTTATTGGTATCCAAGACATAAAATGATTGAAATAAATACCATCATCTTAATTTCACCAATCATAAAAAGAACTAGACGAAAATCTTAGCGTTATTAGTATTCAAGTCAATCCAACCCTAAAAAAAAAACAACAAGAAATTGAAAAAAAAAAAAACAAAGTTAACAAAAGCATCCAATTACGAACGACCCCCTCCCACACTAAAAACCCTACAAATCTCAACACCTCTACAACCACCCAAGCCGATCGTCATGCAAACCATAATTACAAACCGATCGATGTCCCAACCAAAGCTTTGAACATCATTCAAACCCTGACGAAGAAAAGGCTGAGCTCCGGCCCGCTGTTCCCGTCCGGGTTCATCATGTAATACGTCTCGGAATCCCTCGACCCGACCACCCGCTCGAAATGCGCCCGCATGTACGCCAGCTCCCCCTCCGGGTGAACCACCTCCTCCTCCTCCTCGGGAATCACCCCGGCGCCCATGGAGACCACGTGGAGCGTCCGCATCACGCGCAGGTCCTCCTCCGTCGGCTCCCTCTTCACCCCGAACCCGGACTTCTTCCCGTTGCAGAACATGGTCCAGATCGGCTCCTCCATCACTTGGGTCTTGTCGCCGCCGCTCCTCTTCTCGCACTCCATCGCGATCCGCACCATCCCGCCGCCCATGCTCTGCAGCAGCTTCCCCGTCGGCAGGCCCAGCTCCAGGAGGACCACGGGGAGCGAGCTCGGCGTCTCTTGGATCGCCAGGTTCACCCGGGCCCTCTTGTGCCCGAACAGGGTCCCCGTCATCCGGGTCCCGTTGATGTGTCCGTCCTGGATCCGGCTCCCTCCGCCGCCGCCGCCGCCGGTCGGGAACTTGCACGCGGCGGGTGTTATGATGGGGAAGGACCGGAATATCGACCGGACCTGGCGGAGGAGCCTCCTGGGCCGGGATGGGTTGCTCTTCTTTCCGCTGGGTTGCTGCAGGGAGACGACGGCGGCGGGTGGTGGTGGAGGAGGTGGCGCGGCGGGGGATTGGGTTTCCGGCGTCGGCGGGCGGGTCCGGACTGGGGGAAGGTTCGGCGTGGCGGCGGCCATTAATGGTGAGTTTGGTTGAAATTGTGTTGTTGTTGTGATGGAATGTGGAGAAGCTCAGTTGGGTTATTTATTGTGTGTTGAAGATTGATTTCTTTCTTTTTTTCTTTCTTTCGTTCGTTCGTTCGTCCTGCTGAGGAATCCAATTTGTGGGAAGCACGTCTGAGTTGCTAGTGGTGGTGAGTTGATTTGAGGGGGTGTAGAAATAGAAAGTACGCGTTGTTTGAGTTTTTGATTTATTCTTTTTTTTTGTTGCGAAGGAGTTAGAAGCTGGTTAATGTTTTTTTTTTTTGTCACGGCAGAGAAACAATTGTTTGCATTGCGTGGAGAGGGAGAGAGGGTAAGCAAAACATTAACCCAGTAATTAACAAGAGAAAAAGAGGAGTGGTTTTAAGTTTTAACTGAACGATGCACAAAAATAGAAAGAAAGAAAGAAAAAGAAAAGGGTTTTCAGTTCAAAGAGAGTAGAATGGTTGAATTGAAATGGGTGGGTGAGAACTGAGGAAAGGTTTTTTATTTGATTGATTAACAGTAAAGTACTGTGGTTTTCGTTGGATTTCTGGGTTTGGAGACAGTAGTGTAAGTTTTCTTTACCATATATAATTGGGTAAAGAATGAAAAATTGAAAATTAAAATAGATGACGAGCCAAGTCCAACAACTAATTTCCCAACTTATGATAACGGATTGGGTTTTAATACTTACTAGTAGGGCTGGGCATGCGGGCGGATCATCCGCGGGTTTGGGCCGATCCACCCGCATTTGACCCGAATTTCGTTAAGTGGGTGGATTTGTGGGTGGGTGACGGGTTACGCTGGGAGCCATCCGCCGGGTGGTGGGTGGGTTGTGGGTGAGTGTGCGAGTGATCCGCTCAACCCAACAGCAAAAAGATCAAAGTCGTTGGCGCTAGAGAGAGGAGAGTGGAGACGTTAGATATAAACTCGGACTGCTCCTGGAGTTTGAACCTCAAAGTCAACCTTCCAAATAGAGATCCCCTCTTCTTCCCTTTACTTTTTCCTCTAATTCTTGTGACTAGATCACCGCTCTTTCCTTTGTGGAATTATTTTCCTTAGTTCTTTGCACCTAATAATCGTCTCAATCTGTAGAAAACTCTTTCATAATTGAATTTCTTTCCAATTTAAGAACTAATTCGACATTTTTCGCCCTATTTCAACTTCTTGTTTCCCTATATGATTCTCTTCACCTATTATCATGTCAAGTTTACTCATTTATATTATATACATTGTGATGTGGGTGAACCCACAAACCCACCCGCATCATCCACCATCCGCCCGACCCAACCCGAGACTAAATGTGGGTGGGTGGTGGGTTAAAAATTATCAATCCATTTAAGCGCGGGTGGGTGCATTTTATGGTCAAAATCCACCCGACCCACCCAATGCCCACCCCTACTTACTAGAAAGTAGAAATGTCAATATAATGTTAGATATCGTTAAAAAAATTTATTAACAAATTATATGTTTTATGATGAAGGTACACATAATTGGAGCTAGTTTTATGTTAATTGTTGTAGGAAAGTAATCCACCGGCCAACAACATTGAGTTGGATTTGGTTTCTTTCTTCTTGTCGAGAATCATAACAATGTATACTTCTCATTCTTGTTAAGAACAGTAACAAGGTACGGGTGGACATCAACCAGAAACAACGTGTTTTTCCTGCATTTATGTGTAGTCTAAAGTGGAACACAAAGCGACACGTGGGGCTGAGATTTCTTGAGTTATCAAATAAATAAAAGTGGAACACAAAGTATTGATAAAGCCGGCCGGTCGGACCGGTCCTATAAAGCCGTCACCCGGTCGCAAATCCGGCTCGGGACAGTCATTTAGCCGCTACGATTTTATGGAGCGGCCGGCGAGCGGTTGAGGTGGTTAACCGCTCGAGACGCTCAAATCGGTAGCTCGGTTTGCCTCCTTATGGTCGACCATAATATGGTCGTTGTGTTTAATAAAAAAAAATTGAAATAGAAAATCAAAAATTGAAAACAAAAGGTAAAATCGTGGGGCTGGGAATAGGGATGGCAAAAATATCCGTAACCATGGATATCCGCCCGAATCCGACCTAATCGGGTATGGTAAAACCCAAACCCGAAGGACTTTTAGTGGGTACGGGTAAAATCTGAACCCGAATATTGGGGGTATTGGGTGGGCATGATTTTCTCACTATCCAACCCGAACCCTCCCGATTATACACATGCATATGTATTTTGTCTACAAATAATCAATATTTTTCTTTAACATATTTTATATTTAGCATATAAATATAATATTTTTATAAAATTGTGTTGTTTTAATTAATTTTTTTCATATTGGTTGGAGTTATAACTAGAAACTATTACCCATGGATAACCGTGGATACCCGAACGGATACGGACACGGTTTGGATTTTCTACCCGTTTCTCATGTGGGTATAGGTAAAACCTGAACTATTTTGGGTAGGGTAACGGGTATGCACTATCCAGCCCCGACCCGACCCATTGCCATCCCTAGCTGGGAAAGAAACCCTAACTCTAATTCAGTCTTCGACTCTTCGTGAACAGAGGGAGAAGAGCGGCGCCAAAACTTTGCCGCGGTCAACACTTCCTGTCGCCATCGTCGCCATCCCCAGTCAGTGTAGCAGCTCCTAGTTCGCCATCACCAGTCTCCATCCCCGTCCCCTCTTCCCATAGCAACTCCTCCGCTCCGTCGTCACTTCCCGTCCCATCGCTTCCCGTCGCCATCCTCAGTCCTTGTAGCCGCTCCCCGCTCGCCAGTCCCCGTCCCTTCTTCCCGCAGCTGCTCCTTTGATAGCCATTGCCAGAGGCTTGAATCGAGCACTGCCCTGCTCCGGCCGTCTCACCCCTTTTGGTACTCATGTTTTGGAATTGTTAAGAGTTAAGAGTGTAATTTACTAATTTAGTCATGGTTACCATGATTAAGAAGTGTCCACTATTTATACTGATTGTATATTAGGTACAGGTTTTCTAATGGGTTTTAAACGGTTTAATGCCGGTTGTACAGCTAAAGACCGAGCCGTTCACGTTATCGGGTCATACTCTGATTCGCTTTTGACAACATTCGTTTAAAGCGGAGCACAAAGTATTGATATATCCACCTTTGTGTATACTAGAAAATGGAAAGGAAATGTATTAGCTAGCCTATGTGTTTAGGCATAAAATATGTTTAATTAGGGGACTTTGTCACCGTAACTTGCACTTTTAAGTCGACCTCATATAGGATTAGGTCGACCTAATTTTCACTTTTAGGTCGACCTAATCTCCAAACCTCTTTTGCAAAAGAACAGTGCAGGAGCAAGTGAGCAGCAGACTCAGCTGGTGCGAAACAAGTAGAACAGCAAACTCCATGAACAACCATGGAGTTGACCTTATAGTTAAGAAACAGGCAACTGCCTACCACATTGCAATCTCATGGTTTCTTGAGGGGTTTTTAGTTATTGAAGAAACAAAAACATGAAGAAAGTGGAGAAATAAAGCTAGCCCGTATTGCTTATGTTCTCTTCTCAGCCCAAAAGGGTGACGAAAACAGTTGACCTTATTTTCCAGCCGTCGTGGAAGTTGACAATCGAGTTTTAGTCTCTGCTAGGGGAATGAATGTCTCAAATCTCGAGTTTCTCAAGCTTAATAAAGTTATGGGTTTTGACTTTGAACATTGTGGGCAGCATGTATCGCGGGGATACGCGGGAAGAACAAAAACTCAAGACACCATGACCTGCATTGACTTGGAGGTTTAAATTAGTCGCTATTATATACACCCTACTAAAGAAACAATGAACTGGAACGACTACATATTGAGAACAAATCCCTTCTCTCTCTTTTTATTAAGTCAGAAGAACAAATTCTTAACCCAGATGTATTCTGCTACCATAGAAGTCTATAGAGAAGATTCACTTCTCCACACATGCCCTTCAAAAAACCAACTTTGGCTGGTGAAGATTTTACAGCAGGCCTAAAATCTACTATATATCACTACTAGTACGACTACCCTCACAATACTAATATGCACATAACGCGTGGAACATTCTTATGCGTTGCTGGACTCTTCACCAAGCCCTTCGTCACTTGCTTGGCGCCCTGACCTTCTTCATACTAGTTTGCCACAGTTCGTGACAAATGCCTGCCTGACTCTGCTGCTGCTGCTCCCATGTATCCTCCATGGCCAGAAACTGGAACCTCAGCGTCACCATGAAATGACGGGTTGTTAGGCGCATCGGTGAAGTATTGTGGATGGCTTGACTGCAGCACGTTCAGGTCCATCTTGTTAAACATCATGCTAGCTATGGATCGGTCAATGGAATTTGTCTCCTGTTCCATTCCTCTGACACCAGACCTAGTGTTAAAAGAAGGGTTACCCGGCATAGGTTAGTAAGTTGGAAACAAAAAAATAGCAAATGGAGAAACAGAGTTGCTTTAGTTGCAGACAAGGTGAAGCTTATGAAGACCAAAGAGCAAACAATGAAAAGTTCTGAACTTTGCATGCTAATTTAATGAGGTGCGACACCTCCCATGCTGATCAATCAATAAGCATCATTCAAGAGACCAAATAGACAGTTGGGAAGGACATAAGTACCTTGATTCCTCAACTTGAGCTGTCCATGAAGGAATGTCCATGGCAACATCTTCATTTGCTACTTCATGGGGTCTTGAGTTTTTGGCCAAACGATACAAGGAGTCACGAAAGCATATTCGGGTCTTTGTAGGCAACTGATAGATTTAAAAAGTGCAAAACATAAATATTGTTACCATCTGCCATTTCTTTAAACTGGTAAAAGACTTTTGACTAACATTTATTTACATTACCTGTGCCATCACCAGTTCGAACTCATGTAGAGCAGACTCCTCCCTAGAGGGTTCCTTTAGTAGTTGGATGCCTTTGCAGTCTTCCTCAGTTGGTGTTACTGATACAGTAAAAGGAGGTACCTTGATAATGGATTTGAAATGATTAGTATAAGCTGTTTCATAGATGAGGGGTAACTACATAAGCTTTTAGCATTGTCATTAAGTAGATACTCGCTTGACTAAGTCATAAGGAAAATGAAGTTCGACAACATGATACTTGGGTGAGAAGACCATCCCAAAAATGTGAGATAGTTAAGAGTCGGCCACAAATGTTCCCTTCTTCAATGTACTTTTGTTGGCTCAACGAATTGCAAAAACAGAAAATTATGTTTGTATCTAACAAGTGAGTTATATACATTTGGCATCCTTGGATGACATGCTTAAATTAGCTTGTGAGAAAATGTCACCTTTAGTTGATGAATAACTGATTTCTCCAAGTCACACGGACTGTACTGTGACGATGCAGGAACTCCAGCATTGCTTGATATTGAGTCTGAATCTAAAGCGGTGGCTTCTGTCCAGAGATCATCAACAGCAATCATGCAGTTTTGTGACTCGGATGAAAAGCAAGGAGAATTCTGTTCCATCTCTTGCATATCATCAAGCAAAGAACTCCTACAAAGAACAAGGATGAAAACTATGAACAGCTAGAAGACAAGGCTCTACCAAGATCACTGGATCAAAGAAGTAAATTAGTTTTATGCCAGAGGTTAGGATTGTACAAGAAAAGATCATCCATAGGCTCGATCCCTGAAAGGCCATCCAGATGACAATCCGGCTGCCTGTGAAAAGACTCGTGGCATACCATTGCTCCTCCACCGAAACTTGAACAGCTAGATTGATCCCTGTCTGGGATAGTACTGCATTCCATGTCGAATTGATGGTTAGCAGAAGTATGCGTGTCAGATCGGAGCTGTTCCGGAGATAGGTTTGTAGGGGATAGTAAGTATTTGTGAGAATAGTCGTTGAAGGTATTGGAAGCATTTAGTGCCCAATTTGACCAACTATCCGGTGACTGGAACCCATCAGAAAACCCTTGATCTTTAGGAACAACAAGATCATCGTACCCAAAACATCCATTCATCACGGAATCCTTTCCTACAACAACAAAACAATAGTACCCAAGATCAATAAGCATTCCCCAAAGATACTCAACAGGCATAATCAGAATCAGAGATGGAAGACCAACAGGCAAGCTCATCAGTTTCTTGGATCTAAGTTTAGTAGAGAATATTACTCCTTCATCCTAGAACAACTAGACACTCAAAACGGAAAATCCCATATGAGAATTGCAGTTCTCTCGGAACTTCTTCCCTATCTTTTCTCAACAACCAAAAATTCTAAGTGAAAAAGAAAAGATGAGAAGAAAAGGAAAGGAAATCACATCCTAATATGCCAACTCCTTTAACAAACCAAAGGGGAAACCAAAGCCTTAACAGATGGACAACAGGGAGCCAACCCTAAGCAAAGAAGTGAACAAACCTTGAGGGGAAGGTGGATCAATCAATAGAAATGAAGGATAACCCAGTTGTCGATTTGCAAAGATAGGGCGCCGAACTCTGAACCCAGATGAGAAAAACACCCAGAAATGATAAGAACCGTCGATCAAGATATGCAAGGGCGGCGGCTCTGATTTGCTCCGGTTTGAAAAGCTTTATAATACAACCCCAGCTGCAGGCTTCCTAGTTTCAATACGTCGCTGAAAGTTGTAATAATTGTGTAGATATGAAAGTTATCGTGGGCGATGGAGTCCAGTGTCGACACAAGTTTGGGCTGCAAATGGAGTAAATCCTAGAAATTGTATGATAAGAGAATTTGGGAAGAAGAAAGTTAGGGACAGCCCCCACTAGGGTCTGAGAATTTGTGGCTGAGAGCTAATGACCAGAAATTTGTGGCTGCCAGCGCTCCATCTAAATCTGCTCTCTCATTCGTCCACGTGTCCAGGGAGCTAGTCCCACCACTCGGGTTTCCGGGTTGGGGAGGATTACCGGTCGTTTTCCCGTCTGGCTGGGTGGGGTCCGCTTTATGTGGGCTCCACGTGCTCTACATGTTCCCAACCCCCAATATTTGTATTTTCCCCGAGGGGCGATATCCCCAAGCGTACGCTGTCCCTACCAGTGGGGGTAATTTGGTCTATTGTCGGGTGAGTACGTGGAGTGTATATCACAGCAACCTAGGAACCCTGGCGCGAGGGAGTTTTACTTTCGCCTTGACACGTGGACACATGCAAATGATCCGCTTTGACGCGTGTGAGCGTAGCATAAGAGACGGGACACCAACAATTGGGTCTCGATCATGTTAGTAACATTAGGGTCAGTAATTATAAGTAACCTGTAAACATTATCGTGACATCAACATCCTCTTTCTTATAGAAAATTTTTAATTTTTTCCTCTTTAATTTTTAACAAATGATTTCTCTATTCTTTTAAATAAAAATTTAAATTTTTTTCACAGATAAATTAGATCAATTGTGATTTTCAAAATGATATCCGCTTTGATATATTTTTAAAACAAAAAAATAATTGAGGCATTTTTTACGAGTCTATACTCTATACCATATGGTATTGACTACTATGAAATAAGAGTATACCACATGGTATGAAAGCGTACCATGGTGGTATGAACATACCAAGACTCTAGGATGGTTGAATACATGATTGTAAGAGTATACTAACAGTCATTTACGATTTTCATCAATGTGTACCACAAGTTACCACCTCTCATACTAGGGTGGTATTAATATGGTATTTTTTGGTCTAGAATTTTTTTCGCCCATAAATTTGTAGATCTAATAGATCATGATGAACTCGTTCGCAAATATTTTCAAAAATGAATTAAAAACGAAGAAGATACCATATGGATGGAGTTGATAATGAAAGGTATGAAAAAAATTCTAAAAAAATATTGAAAATTGATCTCATTTTGTAGAGCACAACGAACTCGTTCAATCTGTGCAAAAACAATTGAAATCCGAGTTAAAACGAAGAAGATAAGAATCGATTAAGAAAATTAGGAAAAATAAAATGTCTTTAATTCACAACCTTTAGATCTGAATTTTCTGGACCCATTTAAATCCAAATCTCCACACTTTGTTACTCATGGGTGAGTAACCAATGGTTACTGACCCTATCTTCTTGAGCCCCAACAACCAGTGCCTTTTTCTATCTCAATTATTGTAACATCTTAGATAAATCTCACATCGACAAAACACGGGAGAGATCTTCAGTTCATAAGTAATAAATCAATCTTAATTGACAAAACGCAATCTGGATGAAATTGAAGAGTTATTGTAAGAAATTTGAAGTTAAGCATGCTTAGTGTGAAGCACTGCAACTCTGCAAGAATGGATGACCTTATGGGAAGTCACCTTGATATGCAGCCCAAGATAAAAACTCGTGAGGATCTAGACCCAAGCGGACAATATATTATCGGAAAAAAGTTCGGGATGTTACAATTATGTTCACGTGAAGTTATAAAAAAAACTATATTAATGCCAAGATAAAAAAAAATTAGGGTAAACACTAATTATTAGCCAAACCTTTCCCGCAGTCTTTTTTATTAGGCCAACCTATTGAAATACTAATAACTAGTGAATCCGATGAGAAGCAGGAAAATCGAAAGCGGATGAGATAATTACACAAATCCAAAAGTAAGAAATCGACAATGAATGAGAGGAGATATACGAAGGTGAAGGGAGATGAAGAAGAAGAGGCGTAATTGTTGAATGAAGAAGAAGGAGTTGTCTTTGTAAGAAATAGCTTGCAGAAAACGGGTAAGTAGAAAGGAAGAAAGGGGAGGAAGGACAGAGGGACAAATTTGGGAAAAAGGATGAAAACGCGGTAATGTCAAATTATTAGGGGGATGAGTGGTATTCTCAATTACAATGAATGTGGTAATTGAAGCCAATTTCAATAGCTCAATTCTCATATCCTTTTTGCTCTCCCAAACATGGGTTTTTAACCCAATTACTGCATTATGTGGTAATTGAGTCCAATTACTGCATTATATTTCCACATCCAGACGACCCCTATATGGGAAGAGTTGCACGAAGTGGTGTCTAGTAACCCTTACCTTAGGGAGTTACGAGCAAAGGCAAAGTCAATTGACCCCGGGGAATACACTTTCAAAGAAGGATTGATATTCTTCAAGGTCCGAATCATTTTGCCACCACACTCTTCCTTAGTTATGACAGTACTTAAGGAATACCATGATTCGACAGCAGGAGGACATTCGGTGGTAGAGCGGACATTGAAGAGGATTAGTAGTTACTATTATTGGTCGCAGATTGTGAAGGCAGTCAATGATTATGCCTTACACTGGTGGGCTTACTTTAATCCCTACCGATCCCACGACAAGTGTGGGAGGAGGTGTCCATAAATTTCGTACAAGGCCTCCCTTAGATTTTGGGAAGATTCGTTTTATTTGTGGTTGTTTCGACTAACCAAGTACAACCATTTTAACGCTCTCGGCCATCCCTATACTGCCAAAGCTATAGCAGAGTCTTTCATCGACAAGTCATCAGGAACCATAGAATTCAGGCAACAATTGTCAATGATTGGGGAAAAAGTTTCATAAGTAACTTCTTGTAGGAGATTTTCTCCCAGTTTGAGACTTGTTTGCTCATGAGCACAACCTATCATCCACAAACTGATGGCCAGATAGAAGTGGTGAATCGATGTTTGGAGAAGTACTTGTGTTGTTTCACGCAACAGTACCCCTGGCGGTGGCTCGCACTACTTTATGGGCCGAGTTCTGGTAAAACTCCAGGTATCACAAGACAATAGGCATGTCCCTTTCCAATCTTTATATGAATGACCAATACCGCCTATAATTCTATATCATGCGTAGGCTAGTCCAGTGGTGGGAGTCGATGATTTACTGCAGGAGCGGGATGCTGATTTGGCCAACCTGCGGAAAAAACTAGAAGATGCCAACCTTCATGCCAAACAATTCGTGGATGCTAGTCGACAGATGTGACGTAGGAGGAGGGTGAATGGGTTCTATTGCGTTTGCACCCATACCGCCAATCTACAGTGTTTCGGAAAGCCTTTCAAAAATTGGCAGCAAAGTATTTCAGGCCCTACTAGATTCTCAAGCGAGCAGGGGTCGTGGTGTATCACTAGAGTTACCTGAACGAGCCAAGATTCATACGGTATTTCTCGTGTTGCTTCTCAAGAAGTATATTGGTGATCCCGAGCATGCTTCTATAGTAGCAACGCCGAAAAATGATGATGGAGAATTGGAGATTATGGCGGTACGAGTAGTGGACCATCGTTGGATGCGTGTAAAGAGAGGAATCATTAAGGAATGTCTTGTCCAGCGACAACATTTTCCCAAAGAGGAGGCTACATGTGAGAACCATGAGGAGATGCATCACTGTTTCCCCAACGTGGGCCTTGAGGACAAGGCCGAGCTTCAAGGGGAAGGGGATGATGAGGGAGAGCTACGACAATCGGGTCGTAACCCAAAGCCCAACACACAGTTTGCCGCATAATTATGTTTGCATTGTTTCTATGTTGGGGAAGTTAGTTTCTCGTTTCCTTTTTTTCATAGATATTCTAAAAAAGGGAAACAACAGGTATAGTGTATAAAAATAAAGCCTTTTCAGGCATAAACGAAGAAGAAGAAAAAAAGACGCCAGTCGACCAACAACCGACCAACGATAAGAGAGCATTCTTGCTATGATATGGATAGCTCTTTCATATCTATTCGGCAAAGGCTATGTTCTTAACTTAATTTCAACCCTTTGCAGGTCAGAAGTCAATGACCATATGCCCCTGTGGCTGTCAGGTAAATGCAATACAGCAAACCCTGCAAATCTAACAAAAAAATATTTCTAGGGCAAAAAACACAATAGAAATTAAATCGCTAAGGATACAGACTTTCCATCAAACTATAAAATCCAAGAGTCTTTATCGTGGCGCCTACATTCCCAATGACCAGTTTACCTGCAAAACAAACACATTACACATAGCCTCCACGACCAGCCTGCAAACAATGCAGTATTCCCAAAGACAGAAGAAACGACAGAACATTTCGGAGGAGCAAGAAAAAATCACCTAATCACAAAAGAAACCATTACAAGCAAAAGATTAAGAATTGTTTTATGGTTTGCATCAATCACAGTTATTCCATCGCTAGATTGAGTCGATCCTAATTCCTAATTGGCATTTTCGCATTTGGTTTCTTCCCTAGGCAGGAGGGGATGGTTGGGGAGAATCTATCTTCTACACTACTTATAATCTACACAATATATAATAGCAGGGACCAGATCAGGTCAGTATCCTTACTATCAGTAACTGTCAGTAATCCAATCATATGTTCCCTTGTGTCAGCCTTTTCCTTTTATTTAAATTAACCACGGAGGGGCACTAAGGTAAATTGCACCTCCTATTTAATGATGACGCTGACGCTCTAACGCTGACTTTTTGACCAGACGCGGATCCCACTCCCCCACCCCACACTGGTTGTCAGGTTCCCCTCTCTCTCACTCTTTGTTTTATTTTATTATTAAAAGAAAAAATACATTATTTCTTCTCTCTCCCATCTACAACAAAAATGAATCTAACCATCCTAACTATCTCTAAACTAATTCCAGCTCAAATTGAATGATGATTTTTTCGTTAAATAATACAGTGTTAAAGACACCAATTACAAGTATAAATATGATTATCACTTTTTACCATCATGGTAAAATATGTTGAAGAAAATTACAAATCTAACTACCATACAATACCACATGGTAAAACGTGGTAAAACATGATAAAATATGTTGAAGAAAATTAAAAATCTAACTACCATACAATACCACATGGTATAACGTGGTAAAACATGCTACATAAATTTACAAATCTAATT